TTGGAATTCTTCTTCTTCTTCTTCTCAGTCTTCTCCGCCTCAACCACCGCCGTCTCAGGGTCGGCCTCAGGCACCTCCTCAGGCTTCTCCTCAGGCTTCTCAGGCTTCTTTTTGGCTGAGGCTTTGGCGGCCTTCTTCAGCTTACCAGCCAGGGTGGGCTTCTTCTTAGGCTGAGCCTCCTTGTCCTTGTCCTTCTGCACGTGAGGGACAACTGACTTCAGGAGGTCCTCAAGGGAATGGTCCTTAAGCTTCTCAGACATCTTCTGAACGTGCTTCTTAGCAAGGGCCGCCTTCAGGTCTTTCTCCTCAGCCTTCTTCTGAGACTTGATCCTTTGCCTCTTCCTCCTCTGGCGGTACTGCTCATCCTGAGCAGTTGCCCTCCGGTGAGCCTCGAGGAGCTGAGGTGCGACTCTGAGGGAGAGGCTGTTGGCGGCCTCAAGGGCGAGGTCATCGTCAAACTCATCTTCGATCTCAGGGCCATCCTCTAAGTCGTTCTCGCCATCCTCAGCTTGGTTGTAGTAGTCCCACCTGATGAGATCCTTGAGCTCTGAGGCTGTGTCGCTGAGGTGCCACTGTGCCTCTAAGGGCTCGCCATCCTGCTTAAGCCACCTGAAGCGATCCTGGAACCACTGGGAGGGCAGCCTCTTAGTGCCCAGGTTCAGTTCCTTAGCCCACTTCTGGCTAAGGAGCTGCTCAAGCTTGCCAGTCTGAGGATTCGGTCTGTAGGCCAGAATCCCATTCCTCACGGCTGCTCTGTGGACCCACTGATCATTCTCATTCTTAGTGCTCATCTGCGCCTGAGCAGCAACGACGGCTTTGACGATCTCTAAGGCACCCACCTTAAAGACTGAGTTGCCTTTGGTCTGCTTCTGAAACTCCGTCCTCAGGTCCTTCAGCTCCTTGCGGACAAAGGCCTTGAACCTAATTCGTGGTTGTGGTAATTAATTAGGATAAAAAATCTAAATGTTTAGTCCTTAATGGGTTTAACTAAGTACCCATAAACATCTAAAAAGGTAATTTCAGAACTATGACAAAGGAACTGCTTAGAGAAGTCTGAGTCCGTGATCTGAAGGAAGGAGGTGCACTTAGCGGCAACACAGCAGCCGATTTGCTGTGCTAAGGCCATCTTCTGAACGGAGGAGTCTGAGAAAACTGCACTGAAGCAGTCCCTCTGCCAGAGGGAGCAGGCATGCTCTCTGGCCTGAGCCTCAAGCACCCAGCCTAAGATCACTGAGTCCACATTCGCGGCAGGCTGAGACATGATCTCAAGGTGCTCCACCAGCTCAGGGTGACTCTCCCGGACCTTGCGATAGGACTCAAGGATTCTCCCGGCTGAGGTACCTTGTCCTCTCAGGATGGTCTTAGAGCCAACTTTGAACTGCTCGGCCTCAATGAATTTGCCAGCTGCGGAAATGTTGCTCAGGCGTGCCCACTGCCCGGGCACGACTAAGAGGCCCTTCCCCACCACACCCAGGACAGGCGTCTCAGGATCCCCGTAGACGTTTCTGAGGAGCTGTCGGGCCTCGTAGGTGATTCTGAACCTCTCCTCATTTGCATGGCCTATGAGGGTCAGGCTGCCGGGGTGCTGAAACTCGTTCTGAGGCTTGTTCTCAAGCTGTTTGCCTGTCTTCCTTCTGGGTTGGCTCTGAGGCTTCTCCTGCTCAGGCTTGAAGGATTCTCGGATTTCGGCTGCTAGTTTGTGCTAAAGACTCAGGAAATTGCTTTATTTACTACTAATAGTTTAATGCCTGTCTACTGAATAAACCTAATTCTGGCGCTTTTTTCTCTAAGTTTACTAACAAAATAATTAGGCCTAAGGCTCGGTGGTACAGAACCGAACTATCGTAAACCTCTGTAATTAGTTAATTACTTAATGAACTAGCTAATCAATTGGTTGACTATTTGCTTAATTAAGGACCGGAACCTACCGAACCCTCCTAAACATCCTCTTAGTTAATTAAGTAATTACACCCTAATTAATACATTAGTAATTAATTACTTAGCTAAGCACCGAAACCTACTAAACCCCCCCAAACCCTTCTAATTAAGCCCCACAAACCCCAAATCAACCGAAGCCCCCAAGAAACCCTCCTATTTAAAACCAAAGCAAACCACCCCAAAGCTCCCGAAACCTACAGAACCCTCTTAAGCCCGAGTACTTAATTAATTAATTAAGCACCAAACCCTACAAAACCCCCCAAACCCTTCTACTTAGGCGCCCAAACCCCGAGACTCCCGATTCCCTCTAATTGTTTAATTAATTGTCTTAATTAATTAATCAAAGCCACCCAGACCCTAGCTGCCTGCGACCCCGCAACCCCCTTCTAATTTACTTGAATAATCAAAGCCACCCAGACCCTGAGCCCCACTCAGACCCCTGACCCCTGTCCGGGGCTACCGGTTCCAAATTAAAGAGACCAAAACTTTTTGGTCGGGGGGGGGGGGGGGGGGGGGGTACTAAACCGACCGCCACATTACTATTTTTTACCTTGGTTAAAAGGGCGGCTGAGGCTCAAGGCCGCGTTTACGGCTTCGGGTCTGATGAGTTCGGCCAAGTGCGCGGTGCGGGAGAGCCTCCGGACGAGGATCAGCGCGTCTACAGACCTCACGCCGTGGCTGGCCTGCCGGAGGAGGACCCACCCTCAACCCTAAACCCTATAAACCCTAAACCCTACAAACCCTAAACCCTAAAAACCCTATAAACCCCTAAACCCACCCTAAACCCTAAACCCCAAACGGAGGACCCCGTCGTTCGGGTGGATGCCGGGATTTGCCATTCAGCTGCAGAGACGGCATCGGGACGCATCTTCCTCTGGGGTTGCGGAGGCAAACATAGGAAGCCCAAGAGGGGAGGGGGTTAGGGTTTAGGGGGTTTAGGGTTTAGGAGTTAGGGTTTAGGGGTTTAGGGTTTAGGGTTTAGGGTTTAGGGGTTTAGGGGGTTTAGGGGGTTTAGGGTTTTTAGGGTTTAGGGTCATAGGAATCCAAAAGGGGTTTTAGCCTATGGGCGCCGGGGGTTTAGTAGGGATTAGGGTTCCCATAGTAGGGCTCATACTAAGGAATCCCTAAAGGGGTTTTAGCCTATGGGGGTTTAGCAGGGGTTAGGGGTTCATATTAAGGAATCCCTACCCCAAGAATCTTAAACCCTAAACCCTAAACCCTAGACCCTCTAAAACCCTAAAACCCTAGAACCCTAAACCCTACACCCCCAAGAATCTGAAACCCCCCTTTTGGCCTCCCATCAGGCAATGGCCAAACTGGAGATTCAGCGCTGCCCTCCAGCTCTCGAATCCGGGAGCTTCACATCAGCGACCTTTCGAAACGATGCGCAAAGCAGTCGCATCCTTAAAGACGACCTGAATCCTAAAAGAGTTTAAGTTTAAGGTTCATATACCCTATAGGGATATTTCATATATATATATATATATATATATATATATACCCTGTAGCCGTTCATAGTATACGGGTATGGGGCCACTACTTTTCAGTGTGTGACCCGGGTGAGAAGTGCAGAATCTAAAAGGCCATGTGCCACTAAACGGATGTAAAGATGGCAAATGAACTGCCTTCGTACATTTCTGTCCTCCGGATTCGTGTTCAGGGGTTTGGGCTTTAATGTTTAGGGTCTGGGGTTTGATATGGGGGCTCTGAAGAGTTTGTAGAGAATTCTCTTGCAACCGCGATGTAGGTGCGACAGCACGATCTACACATCCAAACCTTATGTTCACAATTGAATCCCCTACTACTGTTCGGGTGGGGTGGTATGCAAGGTGGACCCGGCGCTTTATTTCGGTGCGCTTGGTGCACAGTGCTTGAATATCAAAGGAGCGTAGATTCAGGGTGTAGGAGAAGCGCTCAAGAAACATTCGGGGGGATAGGGAAGAAACTCGCCTAGTTGTTGAGGCTAGTGTTGGGGTGTTGGGGTTTGAGCTTCGTGGTAACAGTGGCGAGCCGCATGACGGGCCCCCATAAACCCTAAACCTAAACCCTAAACCTTAAGCCCTAAACCGACCCTTAATCCCATGCCCCAGACGGAAATCCAAGCCTGAAGCCTAACCTTGAAAGCGACGGTCTCCCCCAAGTCCCTGAACCCAGACCTCGAAGGGTTTAGGTCCACTATCGTTCACAAAAATCCAAAAAAAAAGAAATCCAACATGAACCCCTGTGAATCCCAAACTCTCAAGACAGGATCTCGAAAAGTGAAAGCCGAGCCCGACAAAGAAAAGCAATGAATCTTACAGGTTCACGTCCAAGGTTTCGGGGTTCAGGGTTTCGGAATTTTTCGCTGGTGTGAATGTGTGTGTGTGTGTGTGTGTGTGCGTGTGTGTGTGTGTGTGTTTGCCTGTGTTTTGTCAGGGTTAGGAGTTTAGACCCATTACTAAGCCCTAAACCCTAAACCCTAAACCCTAAACCCTAAGCCCTAAACCCTAAACCCTAAACCCTAAGCCCTAAACCCTAAACCCTAAACCCTACAATTTAGGCTTGGTGCCCAGGGTTCAGGGTTTCGCACAAGACTGTCCGCAGAGCCGAACACATCTCAACTGTGTCTGTCCGACCGAGCTCAGAACGGCTTACTTAAAGGATCATGGGACTTAGTAATCGGGGTTATAAGCAAGGTACCTACAGTTATATTTACTTATAACCCCGGATTGTGTACTTTTTCGCCTTACTTACCACGTCCCTTGATACAGAAACCCCTTATAGATCCCTTTTACGGAACCCTTTAAGGAGCTCTACTTACTATGTCCCATGATCCCAAACCCACGAGCTTTCACCGCAAGGCGGCAAAGGCTTCACGGGCAAGCTACCTCCTTCCAAATGCTGAGACTATACTACAGGGCCCTGTGATTACAGTAGTTACCAATACTATTTTGGGGGACTCTTTGGAAAGTTTTTGTATAATGGGCCCCAATACCCTATTCTAATTATTAAGGCCCCTCTGTTACCTCCCTCCAAAGGCTAAAAAACAGCTTTTTCCAACCCGTAGCACATGTGCCGCTGAGGCTGCATGCTCTTACAACTCTGCTGGCCTGTTTGCATGCCGCAATTCAACCTCATGCTCTTTGCGCTCCTCCGACATGTTTTTGTGGAAGCATTTTCTATGACTTGGAGGGTTCTTCATATGAGGGGCAGCTTTTTTACGGGGGCCTCCTTGGATTCAGGATTTTACCATCCCACTATTTAGCGTGGATGCTTGCTTGTTAAGGCTTCGCCATAGAATTCACATGCGGCCATGAGGTTGCACGATAGAGTGGCAGTGAACCCTGAACCGTAATCCGTGCAGTACCTATAGCTTTCACCACCCCCGAACCGCGCCAAGCTCTACCAACACCCTATGGGAGATTATTGAGGTTCCTATGTCTTGGGCAAAGCCCGACCCCCCCAAAACCTTAACATGTCTTATGGAACCCTTATAAGAGCCTTGATAATTAGCGCCCTGCAAGACCTCAATCTACTTGTCGTGACCCCGCACACTACACACGCACGTAAGTCTGCAACCTTTGGCTGTAGTGCACTGTCGTGCCGACATGTCAGGTGGGTCCTTAGCGCTGTGCCAGTGGTGCACAAGGCCTTGGTACCTTGCAATCCCGAGGCTTCTAGCACCTATGATCCCAAGAAGTTCTAATTCTGCACGCTTGCTCATTGTATAGAGATTTCCCTAAATCCTAAACCCTTATAAAGCCCTAAAACCCTAAACCCTAAAACTCTAAACCCTCAAAACCCTAAACCCAGGTATTGTAGTGTTCTTTAGGGTCCAGCTGTGGTATTGAGGATTGTCGTAGCGTAGGTTAGTATTTGGAGGAGTGTATGGTTTTTCGGCTAGGATGCCCAGTAGTACCCTTATTTCCTTTTTGTAGCTTATTATAAGGTCCCCATAATAAGGTACCCTAATTTTCGGAAACTCCCATATAGGTTATATCGCAATTTGCACTGTGAGGTGGGGTCGCCAAGCAGTGCGAACCCATTGTAGACTGTCGACCCGCTGTGCGCGGGTATCCGGGCAAGGGGTACACTAGGAATTCAGGACTGGAGGATCATAGAATTCACCCCTAAACCCTACGCCCATCAAAGTTCCGAACCCTGAACCCTAAGGTCTGAACTTGAGAGTTCGGGGTTCGACCTTGTCCAAAACTAAGCGAAGCCTAACCCCAGAACCTAAACCCCGAACCCAAGCCCACAAATCGTCGTCCAGTTTGGTGCCTGTGAGCCTGCGCGGCATTTCCTCTTGCAAGGCTCGTGATGGTCAAGTGCACATCAGAATTAAGCCTTGGAGATTTCTGGGCTAGGAGCTGGGAATTTAGGGTTTAGGGTGGTCTAGGGATGTAGTAATTTTTAATTCTATGGACTTTAGTTTAGTTTCTTTGGGAATTTGTGGGAGGGTATAGGCATGTCACACGGCTTGGGGGTTTTGAGTTGCGAGGTTTCGGCTACGCAAGCCGCTGGAGTTTCGATGTGCATGTATTTCCCTTCCAAGGTCTAATACGGCTTAGTAAGGGGCTCCTTAAAGGGCTCCTTAAAGGGATCTATAGGGCTCCTTAAAGGGATCTATGGGGTTTAGGGTTTAGGGTCTACTTGGAGGATCATGGGACTTAGTAAGTAGGTTTATAAGTAGAGTAATACGTACCCTAAATGGAGTTACCCCAATTATAACCCTACTTATAACCTGCTTACTAAGTCCCCTGCCCCTCCAAGTAGGATGTTTTGTTTACAGTTGATGGTTCGTTCCGACTAACTTATCCCTAAGGGTCCAAAGGACCCATTAATCAGGTACTTAGGTTTCGGATAGTAGTTATGTAGGTTAGCATCTTGGGAGAGCATATGATTATTAGGTGCTCGGACCCTTAGGGTATGGCTTCGAGCCCACAGCTGCCGACTCATGATTTACATTGCTCCAAGGACCCAGAGAACCCAATACCCCTTAATTAAGGAATATACCTTAAATCACAATATTGAGGCCCCTATAATTTAAGGAATATTCCTTAATTAAGGGGTATTGGGTTCTCTGGGGATTGGTAGTGCATGGCAGCACCTCGGTCGTTCGCGGGGTTGGGCCTGGCCGCAATGTTGTGCTTGCCGCGGCTGAAGGGATGTGCAGCTGTGTGGGTTGCATCTTATACATATATATATATATATATATATATACATATATATATATATGTATATATATATATACACACACAATATGGCTCGTAGCCTACTTACTACTTAGGGTTTTTGTGTTTAGGGTTTAGGAGCAGGCTCGAACCCTTTGCCTTTGATTCAAACTAGCACTTCCATGGAACCCTCTAGCCGAAAGACTCTCCCCCGCCAATCCCTAAACCATGAACTCCAAAGTCCCACCTCAGGATCTCAAACCCCCGGAAGCCTTACCCCCTGCAACTCCCGTTCTGGCAGCTTCCATGCTGCTCCTCGCGGAGTTTATGCTGGTGCTTGTCGCAGCAGTTGCTGCTGTGGCTGCGTCTTGGATTCGTTGGCATTCCAGCCCTTATCTCAGCTCTAAGTTCGAAACACCAAACCTTCAACCCAACCTTAAACCCCGAACTCTAAAGACGCGACCCTCAGCCCTAAACCCTAAACCCCTGAGACCTTGACCCCAAACGCCTCAACCCTGAAAGCCCTAAACCCCTAAACCCTAACCCCTACTAGCTTCCTGAGTAGTACCCTTTTGCCCTTTTTATTTTTTGGTTCCCTTATTAAAACCAAATCATTGAAAAAAGGGTACCCTTTTTCTAATGTGGCTACTCAGGAGCCCAGCCTAAGACCCTAAACTCTAAACTCCTAACCCCTCCCCTAAACCACTAAGACCCTAAACTCTCAACCCTGCTGCTGATTTTCAAAATCCTGCATTACCCATTATAAGGAATATACCATAATTCCCATAGTTTAGGGTCCTTAGGGCCATGCAGGATTTTGACCCGGAAGCCCCTTCAAGAATCCCATACAGGACCCCTTGAAGGGCTTTAAATCCAAGGGTAAAAGGAGGGACCCTTAATAAGGACCCCTATAAGGGTTCCTTAAAGGGATCTATAAGGGTTCTATAAAGGGTTTAGGGTTTCCGAGAGTTAGGGGCTAGGATGCCCAGTAGTACCCTTATTCCCTTTTTGTAGTCCTAGGTTCCTTATAAAGTTACCCAATACCAAAAAGAGAGGCCTTTTTTTCTTAGGTTACTGGGTATCCTAGATAAGGACCCCTAGGTATATACCCTTAGTATAACTGTCATGTACCCATGATGTAGCCCATCATAGGGTACGGGTCCCCATTAAGGGTCCCTCCTTTTCCCCTTTGATTAAACGTATTTGGGACCCCTTGAATTAAAGGACCCGAAGCCAGAAAGTCCAGGTGGCACTTTGGGACAACGTTAACAATTACCTTAAATGGTTCTTATAGACATGGGCCCCAGCACTACCTAGAGGCTCATACCCTACCCCTTTTTGAATCTTAAACTCATTTTCTACATTCAAACTAGGAACCTCAAAAATGGGGTAGGGTATGACCTTCTAGGTTCTTGATCAAGGGATATTGGAGTCTCCTAAACCCTATAAACCCTGTATATAGATCCCTTATAGGAGCCCTTAAAGGAGCCCTTTCAAGGGATCCTAGGAGTCTCTAAGAACCCAAGAAGTGAGGTACGGCCTTTGCTGGAGCGCCTCCGTGAAGCCCTGAGCACCACGGGCACGGATCCCGAGGCCAGAGCCCCCAAAAGCTGAAAAGTTCGATCTTTGACCAACCAGGATGGCCAGTAGTACCCTTATTCCCTTTTTGTAGTCCTAGGTTCCTTATAAAGTTATATACCCAATACCAAAAAGAGAGGCCTTTTTATTCTTAGGTTACTGGGTATCCTAGCCAATAAAGCTTGCGCAGTCTTCGAGGCTTTACATAGCTTTGGGGATTAGGAGGTCAGGGGGCTGTCATTGGGCTTGGGTCGGGGTTCAAATTTCAGGGTTTACGGAATTTGGAGTCTTTAACCTACGCCCTACACCCAAAATCCTAAGCCTAGATACCCCATACCCAAACAGTCGTAGGCACTGTTGTGGGAAATTACTCTTCCCGAAATCAGAAAACGAATTCCTAACATAGAAACCCTACATTCTACTATATAGCTACTTCATACCCTTAAGGGGGACCCTTAAAGGAACCTTTAAGGGAACCCTTCGAGTCACTTTGGACCCCAAAACCTAAACCCATAAACCCTGGACCTGTAACCCTAAACTCTACTACCAAAACCGTAAATGTAAGTATGCCCCATAGCTATAACAGTATAACATTCCACATATAGAAACCCTACATTCTACTATATATGCGCTTTGGACCCTAAACCCTAAACCCGTAACCCCTTAAACCCTAAACCGCTAAAACCCTAAACCCCTAAAAAACCTAAACCCCTAAACCCTAAACCGTAAACCTATGTACCCCCATAGCCGTAACTCATTAACTTGTAGAAACCTGTAAAGGACCCTTTCAAGAAAACCATTTCATTGACTTTGGTCGTTTTTGGATCGCGGCAATCCAGCTACTATTTGAGTACTTTGGACCCTAAACCCTAAACCCCTAAACTTCTAAACCCTAAACCCATAAACCCTAAACTGCCCAAAGCCCTAAACCCTAGACCCTAAACCCTAAACCCCCTAAACCCTGAACCCGAAACCCCTATACCCCAAACCCCGTAAACCCTTTGGGATCTCCGCAGATCCAGCTTATGGGTAATCTTATTCTGAAAGTTTGATCTTTTCAACCCCGTGGGTACTTGGGAGGTCAGAAGAAGCCAAGGTACTGTAAGGAATACTCCGTAATCTCTTCCTACGGCTGATGATATAAATCCTGCATTACCTTAAGGACCCTAAACCATGATAACAATGGTATACTCCTTATTTTGGGTAATGCAGGGTTTAGATCATCAACCGTAGGAGACGCTGGGAGCCAGGAATATTCCGTAATTTTCTGACAGAGCCCTTATAGATCCCTTTAAAGAGCCCTTCAAGGAACCCTCAGGTACGTTCCTTTTTTAAGGGATCCTACGGTTGATGATATAAATCCTGCATTACCCATAATAAAGAACATACCATAATTCCCATTGTTTAGGGTCCTTAAGGTAATGCAGTAATGCAGGGTTGATATCACACAATCCTAAACCATGAAACCGTATAGATCCCTTAAAGGAACCCCTTGAAGGTACCCTTTACAGGAACCCTTGAGATAACCGTATTCCTAGGAGTCGCCGGGAGCCAGGTACTGAAGCTCATTGAGGAGGTGGCCCCAGGAGATGCACCGGCAGACGAGGCTCGGAGTACCTACGGTTGATGATATAAATCTCTAGGGTTCCTTTAAAGGGATCTGTATAGGGTGCCTTTACGGGGCTCCTTTAAGGGATCTATATAGGATTTTTGGGTTTAGGGTTGATCTATAAGGGTTCCCTTCAAGGGGTTCCTTTAAGGGATCTATAGGGTTTCAGGGTTTAGGATTGTGTGAGATATATATATATATATATATATATATATATATATTCTGCATTACCTTAAGGACCCTAAACTCTGGGAATTATGGTATAGTCCTTATTATGGGTAATGCAGGATGTATATCATCAGCCGTAGAGGCTCATACCCTACCTCTTTTTTCAGATACCTAATATTCTATATAGCAGCTCCTGACCAAAAAACTAGGTATCCTAAGAACGGGGTAACCGGTATGACTCTCTGGGTTTAGGGGGCTGGAATAGGTTAGGGTTTAGGGGTTTAGGGGTTTGGGGGTTCAGGGGTTAAGGTGTTTAGGGGTTGAGGTTTTTACCCATACTGGGCCATACTGCGGCAGCTCATGCAGAGCCCTTCGCCTCCTGGGTTCCTTATCTTAGAAACTAGCATAAAAATGATTACCCCCAACTCGTGCTTCAGGGTTCCTCATCTTAGAAACTAGTATACAGTAGAAGCCAGAAAGTTGGAACATCACAATCCCCATGCCCTTAAGGCAAAGTATAGGCGATCCCAGCACTATTCGTCCCAAATCCATGTTCCAACTTTCTGGGGTTCACTGTAAAGATATCCCCAATTCGTCTTCAGGTTTCAGCGTTCAGAGAGCCCGATGCCGCTTGAACTAGGGATCTTCTGGGCTCGCCAACGAGAACCTCTGATTACCCAGAGGCTCCAATACCCCTTAATCAAGGAATATTCCTTAAATCATATATTATAGGGATCCCACTATGATTTACGGTATATTCCTTAATTAAGGGATAGTGGAGTCTCTGGGTACGAAGGTTCTTGGGTACGGGTCATCGTAGACAGATGCGGATATTACCGAAACCCTAACCTCTAAACTCTAAACCCTAAACTCTATAAACCCTAACCCCTAAACCCAAAACCCTAAACATATGGCCGCCGGCTGAGGATTGTGTGATATGCCTGGGTGGCACTTCTGGCGAGGCGCGGTTGGTGTGAAGTTCTCATTTAGGGTTTAGGGCATAGGGTTTAGGGGTTTAGGGGTTTCAGGTTTATGGTTTAGGGTCATAGAAAACCCAAGAGACTACTTAAAGATATCTTTTATTACGGCCCTAAGTGGGTATAGTCGTAATTCAATCCACCACTTTCTGCGAAGTGGTTCAGGGCCCTAGGATACTCTGGGGTTTACGGGACTATAGATAGTTTTCGGGTGGAGGGTGTCTGGAAAACTACGCCCCTCCCCTCTCTTAAAGGATGTTACGCACTTTCTATCGAGATCCGTCCTGCACAGTATAAGTATTGGCTGACGGGGGCGGATTTGAGAATAAAGTCAAAACCCTGAAAGCCTATGCCCTGAACCGCGGGAACCTTTGTCCTGACTACCAGGTCACAGCTGGAAACCATGCCAGCAAAAACCTCCACTCTATATAAGCCCACAAGGGCCCAAAATCTATACCCTAAACTCCTGAACCTTGAGATGATTCCCTCAACACCCGGACCGCTGAACCCAATCTGCCTCAACCCAAGCCCCTAAACCCCGGATCCCTCAAGCATACACTCCTAACCTTGCCTCAACCTAAACACCACAAAAGCTCACACACCCCAAGCACTTAGTGTCCACCTCGTCGGCTGCAGTAATAAAGGTAATGCGGAGGCAGTGGTGCTGACAGTATTTTTGACTAGTAGCACCAGCAATCCTGTCAGTTGAAGTGTCTTGACTGTAATACGGAGCAGAACAGCTGCCATAATAGTAGTGTACTGTACTGTAATATGATGTGCTCCTAATCTCGCACCGAGGCATTCGCAGAGTACCAGTACTTCCTGTCCCGCTAGTTAACCCTAGACCCTCGACTCAAAAACCCTAAGCCGCATACGATCACGAAGACTACCCAGAGGCCCCATAGTAGTTCCTTTTTTGGGATGACCTTCTAGGATTCTATATGCGAACCCCCAAAAAGGAACTACTTTGGGTACTTCCCTTGCTAGAGCCGGAGCGCTGCTGCCAGAATCTTGAAAACTGGAAAGATGCTAGTGTTTAGGGGTTTAGGGGTTTAGGGTTTACGGGTTTGGGGTGTAGGGGTTTTGGGGTTTAGGGGTTTAGAGGTTTAGGGGTTTTGGGTTTGGAGGTTTAGGGGTTCAGGGTTTAGGTTCAGTTTTATTAAGGTTTGGGATGATCCTAGATTTAGGATTCTTTTACCGACATGTTTGGGAGGTGAGTTCGAGAAGGGACAACCACAGGACCAAGCAAGGACAAGGACAGCACCTCTCCGGGACGCTGCAACTGAGCCATGCTTGCAGCGCCTCTGATCATTGGGGCGGCTTTGCCCAGTTTTTGTCCGAACAGGTCCCCACAGTGGATGAGGTCTGGCAGAAGGATCCGTGGAAAGCGGAAGAAACATCCTGCTATAGCCTCCTGGTCGAGTTGTCCACGGGAGTTAAATTTGAAATTCAAAACCTTGCACCTGAACGACCAGGGGAGTGTGTTCCAAGAATTTGTCCCCTAAACCCTAAACCCTAAACCCTAAACCCTATTCCTGAGGGCTCCTCTTGTTCACACTTTGAAACAGCTTCACAACGCCAATCTAATCTTCAGGCCCCTTGACTGTGCAGCTTCCTTCGTTCCCCACCAAGAGCCGTGAACCGCCACCAACCCTAAACCCGCAGCCTTGGTCAGAAATTGCTTGACACAGGCCAAGTGGCTCCAGTTGAAGTGTGGGCACAGGCATGGCTTGACCTCCAAGAGAAGTTATGAGGGCTCAGGTTTAGGGAGTTAGTTGGCGCAGCTTTCGGGATCCTGGTTTTGGGTGGGCTTTGGGACAGTGGAGTGGGTTTAAGGATTTAGGGTGTGAAGGTTTTCACGGATGGCAGATCCTTAGTGAGTAAGCGCACTCTCTAATAACGACTGCAGCAGGGATCCCGGACCCTTGAAGAAAGGAGGTCATTCACCGGATGTCTGCATCAATGCTTCTGCAGCCCTGTAACACCAGAGGAGACCCTAAAGATCCCTGCCTTACAAAACCCGACAAGATTGTCGCCGCTGAAAAAACTCCACGAAACCACGGCACCCTTAAGGCCAGCGTCTCAACCATAATTAAGTCCTGTGCGGTACGTACCTTCTGGAAGTCACAAGACATTTTCCAAGGTTTTGGAAAGCACTAAAACAATATCCTGGAAATCTCAAGCCAAAGACTCTGAACCACAAATCGAGAAGTTTACCAGGTCTCAAAAGGAAACAAAGACTCTATACCCTTATATCGCACGTCGCTGGAACATGTTTAGTGCTGAGGCCCCGACAGTCCCCGGAGCAGTCTGGCTTGCAGGTTTCATCACGAGTGTCTCATGTCCTGGCTGAAGAAGGCACGTCCTCAAAGCCGAAAGTCCTGAACAATAAACCCTAAACCACCTTAAACCCTAAACCCAAACCCGAAACCCTAACCCTAAACCCTAAACCTAAGCCCAAACCCTAAACCCTAAACCCTGAATCCTAGACCCTAACCCAAACCCGAAACCCTAACCCTAAACCCTAAACCTAAGCCCAAACCCTAAACCCTAATCCCAAACCCGAGACCCTAACCCTAAACCCTAATCCTATGCCCAAACCCTAAACCCTAAACCCTGAATCCTAGACCCTAACCCAAACCCGAAACCCTAACCCTAAACCCTAAACCTAAGCCCAAACCCTAAACCCTAATCCCAAACCCGAGACCCTAACCCTAAACCCTAAACCTAAGCCCAAACCCTAAACCCTAAACCCTGAATCCTAGACCCTAACCCAAACCCGAAACCCTAACCCTAAACCCTAAACCTAAGCCCAAACCCTAAACCCTAATCCCAAACCCGAGACCCTAACCCTAAACCCTAATCCGATGCCCAAACCCTAAACCCTAAACCCTGCCCAAACCCTCCTCAAAGCCGAAGGCACGGAACCCTAAGGGCTTTGAGTCCGAGGTTCCCTAGCAGTAAGTACCCCTCTTTGCCCCTTTTCATTTTGTGTTTAGGGCTCTCGGTCAGACATGAACGGAATTCTTGTGTTTAGGGGTTTCGGGTTTAGGGTTAAGGGGTTTAGGGGTTTGGGGGTTTTGGGTTTAGGGGTTTAGGGTTTATGGGTATGGTTTAGGGATTTAGGGTTTAGAGTTCAGGGGTTTAGGGTTTAGGGGGTTCCCTTGTCAAAACCAAATGGGGTTTTCCGACAATGAGGGGCACCTTCTTTTGGGGTCCCTTTAGTAAGGATCCTACTGTTTAGGGTACTATATTAGGGTCCTCTATTTTCGGGCACTCCAACATAGTAGCAGGAAGGGTAGTCTTATTATTAAGGGGGCTCATGGGGAATCTAGAATCCAAAGCTTTGTAGCCCCAAATTCCTTAACTTTCACCTCTGAGCCCTGAAACCCTACCCCCTGGGTGATGCTTTATGGTTGGTATGGTTAGCTAGCAGGTCGGGCTATACTTTCGGTGTGCTACATTGGGGAAGAAAAGCAAAACGCCTCTCGGTAGTAGGCTCAACAAGAGAGGACCCCCCCCCAGAAGGTAGGCCTAACTTGGAGCATCAAAAAACAGGCATTTCGCTGCCCTGTTTGCCGGCTGGATGTGGCTACGGCTGATCTCAGCAGTTTTTGTTTCAATTCTAGGGCTTTTCTAGTAAGAGCTTCACCCTAAAGCCTCTGAGCGCTAAACCCCCTAAACCCTGAACTTTCATCACCTTATATAAGCCTTCAACAAGAAAACCTAGCTTCTTACATAGCCCTCGCTGCGGCTTTTTGAGCTTGGGTCAGCAAGATTTCCTGGAACGGTTGCTTTAAGAGTACTGTTTAGGTACGGCCCCCACTCAGTAATAGTTGCACTCAGTAATAGTTGAATAATATTCATAATATAGATATAGTAGGACCTTAATAGCAACCCTATTATAGACTCTTACTGTATGGGGGCCGTACCTAAGGTACTGTTAGGTTTTCGTGCCAGTTTTGCGCTGGAGGCTTTGCGAAGACGCGCCCTCAAACCCGAAAATCTGAGCTCCAGAAATTGAGCCGGACAAATTCATCTAGGATCCGGAGTAGGCCCTTATTCCCTTTTTTAGGGTTTTGGGTTCCCTTATAACCACCTTTAAACCAAAAAGGGCACCCTTTTTATTCCTAGGTTACTCTTAGGTCTAGTCACTGAGAGGCCTATGGGTTTCGGGTTTAGGGTTTAGAGGCATAATTACCACTGTTACCTTGGGGGGTCCTGACTACAGGTTAATCTTATACATCACAAAGCCCCAGTCTAGTTATTGAAGCCGCTATATACAGAGCCCCCGAACTGAACCGAAGCTCTTGCAACTTCGCGCAGAGCTGAGGTGAATTCCGCATACCAGCCCCTCGGACGCTTCGGAGGGGTTGCTTGGAGGTTCATATATGTAAGGTAACTACACTTAGAATTACTTATAACCCCAGTTAAGGTACTTATAACCCTACTTACTAAGTCCCATGTTCCTCCAAGCAGGGTCTCTGCGGATCTACTTGGAGGTTCACGGGGAGTCAAAAGTGGAGTCTTTTGAGTCGCTTTGAATTGATGTGGGTTATGACTAGAGTCAAGAACTATCCATGAACCTCCGAGAAGAGCCCTGGACCCTATATCCCTATAGAATCCCTACAGATCCCTTGAAAGGGACCCTGATAGAATCCTGATAGATCCCTTTAAAGGGACCCTTGTAGAACCCCTATAGATCCCTTTAAAGAAACCTCCAAGTGAGGGGCTATGGTTAAAGTGTTTAGGGCTTGGTTGGGGGGGGCCGGGGCCTAGGGTGTAGGGTTTAGGGGTTAGAGTTTAGGGTTTAGGGGTTAGGGTTTATGGTTTAGGGGTTTGAGGTTAGGGTTTAGGGTTTAGGGCTTCGGGGGGGTCTAGTATAGGGCTATAAGTACCTTGTTGGGGTTGCAAGCAACAATAGCTGTACTTGCTATTACCGTACGTATAACCCCAATTACTGAGTCCCATGATCCGTTAAGTAGGGTTGCAAGGACTTGAAGGTAGTAGGGTTGGAGAAGAGAAGTCGGGCAACATGGTTAAGGGTCGACGGTTTAGGGCTGAGGGCTTCCCTTATCCCCGAGTAACCTACCTTTTTTATGGACTTACGCAAGGAAATTACCCTAACAAGGTAGGTTTTTCAGGGTTTAGGGTTTAAAGGGTTTCTGCGGTGGTTTATAATATAGAGGCCTTAATCAGTAACATTAATTGGTTTGGAAGATAGAGCCTTCACTATAAGTGTAGCGGCAACTACAAGTACCAAGAGGGTCATACCCTACCACTCTTTTGAGATACATCGTATTATGGTTAGGAGCTGTTTGTATATATATATATATATATATATAATATAGACTACTAGGTACCTTAAAAAAGGGGTAATGCAAGGAACAGGGCACTGGACTTGAAAAAGAAACCCTAAAACCTATGGCGAGGTCGGCGCTGATCGCAGCGATCCCGTCTTCGTCACGGCCCAGCCCCTGAGGGCCTTGAGATCTTGAAGCAGCAGGGGACCCTACTAAACCCCCAAACCCGTCAAACTCCTAAGGCTTAAGCCCTAAACCCTAGTCCTTAAGTTAAGCCGTTCGTCTTACCGTCTTGCGATCCCATTTCTTGAGTCCCATGAACCTACAAGCCATGTGTGTTGTCTAGACCAGGGTCTCTCTTGGGTGGGTTAGCGTAGGAACCTGATTAAGAAACCCTGCGCCTACAACCCCCAAAATTGTAGGATTCATAAAAGGAACTGCAGTAAAGGCCTAAGATGTCTTAATCAGGTTCCTACATCAAGCCCCCAAAACCCTTGTTATAGTACTTTTATAGTACCATGGTCTCCTTAGGAATCTTTTTGCATTTGTGTTCATATAAAGCCCAAGGGAATATCAATTATAAATGTTATTTCTATTATGGTTCGCAGGGGGGTTTAGAAAAAGGAACCCTGCGGTCCCTCTTGGGTGGGTTAGCATTTTGGGTTTGGGGCGCTGGCAAGTGGCCAAACTCAGTCCAAACTCGACAATTGGAGGCCTGCGCCCGAAAAAAAAGGAGGCCTTAAACGTATCCTTTGCGACCCTATATATCAAGGCTTTTGGTCCCAAAGACTAAGAACCCATACTGTATAAGGCTGTTGGGCTATTTTGATCCCCAGGGAGGTGTGACCCCTACACCCTACATCTAAAGTCATGAACTCAGCTTTTTGCTGGACCTTATGCCCTGAATCCCGAACCCTGAGTTCAACGTCTTCTACCCCTCAATCTTACGCCCTAACTTCCAAACCAAAAACAGCAGACCCCCCAAACCCTAAACCTTAAATCTTTGGTTTAGGGTTTAGTGTGGACTGTCAGCATGTCTGCATCTCATGGCTTAGTCTTTCCTTTGAACGCAATTGTGTCAAGGGTTTATTGAGGGTTTACCTTAAGCCGGAATAACCTACCTCTTTAGGGTTCCTTACTATGATTTCCTTATACAAGTCCTTAAAAAGGTAGGGTATTCCGGCTTAAGCTAGGTCAAGCAAAAGTCGCAAGAGGCTATACAGGGTCTGGGGTTTAGGACTATACTAACAAAAGAGGCTGTTTGGCAACCTACGGGTGTGTTCAGGGTTTAGGGTTTAGGGTTGGGCGTAGAGGGCTAAGGTTCTGTCAGTGGTTTCACAAGCTTCTTCAATAGAATCACGTGTGTTTTGAAGCGTTTGTGCAGGTTGTTAAGCGCTAAATGCTAAACTCCAAACCTGCAAACCCTAAACCCCGAAGCCCCAAAGCCCTAGACTCTATAGAATTTCTGGTATTTTTCTTTGCGCTTTGCGACCACAATTTTACTTATAGCTTCGAGGCCTCGAAGCCTTGTTGAAGGAGATTTATCATAGTACCCGAGGGTCTAGGGTTTAGGGTCCAGGGTTTAGAGTTTTGGGGTTTAGGGTATAGCGTTTAGGGTTTACCACCCAAAACTACCATAACCTAAGTTTTTGTAGGTTCTGAGTATAAGCCCCAATAAGGAATTTATCGGGATCCTGCAGAAAAGTAGGTTTTGGTAGGCTAAGGTAGGGTGTAGAGTTTAGGGTAGTAGTACTCGTCGAGAGCCAGTTTTATTGTGGGCCCGGGTAGGCTCTCCCTAAGGGTCCATGTACCCAAATAGTATATACTTTGGGCCCAAAGTACCTCTATAGGGACTACTTTAAGGCCAATGTATATACTATTTAGGTACATGGACCCTTAGGGTCTTATCAGACTCCAGTCGGTTGGTCTAAGGCTTATCTTAAACCCAGAATAGCCTATCTTTTTTAAGGACCTATATAAAATATAACGTAATCATATTAAGGAACCCTAAAAAAGGTAGGTTCCTTAGGGCCCAGGTAGGGTTGACGGTGTTGAGTTTTAGTGGAACGGCTTTAGTGTAAGTTCTAGCTTGGGTCGCGGCCTTCTGGTAGCCACCGTCCTTTGTTGAGTTCTGTAAGTACTTGCCAGGAGCCCCCAATGGCCCTTTAATGGAGCCCTTATGGTCCTTAATAGTGGGTATGTAGGGTATATTAAAGGCTAGTTGGGGGGTCCAGGTGGTTCATAGAATAGAAGACGCCTCACCAACTTTTCGCGAAGCTGTGGGTTTGGCAACTTCGTGATAAAGGTATTTTTTTGCAGCGAGGTCCGTGCCAAAGCTGACGTAGCAGCTCAGGGTTGCCCTGCAAACCCCGAACCCAAAACCTAAACCCTATTCCCGAAACGCTGAAACCTCTGCTCATGACTCTAATCCATAATCATAATCCCTCCACCCTAAACCCTAAGCCCGAAAACGCCCGTGCTACCATGCCAAGCTGTGCATCTGGGTAGCTTCAATCACAGATTTTCTCCGGCCCAGAGACTCCAATATCCTTGAATTCGTCAAGGAATATACATTAAAACATTTTAGGGACCCTTTACACTTCAATCTCAGGTATATTCCTTACGTCCCCTATAGATCCCTTATAGATCCGCTTAAGGAACCCTACGGTATATTCCCTGACTGGGGGATGTTGGAGTCTCTGGGTGCTTGACTGCCTTACACGCAACCAGAAAGAAGCTCGGGGGGTTAGGGAGTCTTTAAGGGTCCAAGTGTACTGGTTCTTTTCAGGGCTCCTGTAACGGTTCCTTTAAGGGATTCTACTGGGGTTCCTTTGGGGTCCTTCAAAAGGTTCTTTAAGGGTTCCTTTAAGGGTTTTATAAGGGTTTCTAAGGGTCCAAGTATTCAATATTGTAGGACTTTGCGCTCGTTTAGGTAACGTGGGAACCTGATTGAAGAACCTTGGGCCTTTATTAGGGTTCCTTATATGAATCCTACTATTTTAGGGCTTATAGTTCCAGGGTTTCTTAATCAGGTTCCTACATTACCAGGAACTATGAATAAGGATTACTTGGACCCTGAGGGAGTTATATAGGGGCTCTGTGGCTTCCGGGTTCGAGGTGCGTAGGGGTTCTTTCGGGTTCTGTAAGAGCCTTATGTAATTAAGGGCTTTCGGGGCTTCAAGATTCACGTCTTAGCGTTTATTGGGATTCTGTGGGGTTTGGTAGGGGCACTAGCATTGTTTTATATATAGGCGGCTTAATATCGAAGCCTGACTGATTCGTCAGTCTCAGATTCGTGTCATAATTTTCGTGGAATATGCATCATGAGCTTATTGTTGCCACAAGGGCCCAAGTACCCAACAATCATATACTCTCCAAAATCCTAACCTGCATAGCTACTGTCCTAAACCGAGTACCTTTTTATTGGGTCCTGTGGACCCCTGAAATTGTTGTTGGACCTTACCATTGTCGATAAGGTCCCATTGTTATGGCTTGTGACGGGTTGTGGCCAGAGGTCACATGTTGGTTTTGGCTGTCCACTTACACCCTAAACCCGAAAGCCCAGCACCCAGTACCGCTGTCTTACCCAGAGACTACAAAACTCGTAATTACGGAATATACTTTCAACTTCAATAGGAACCCTAATATTCCCTATAGACCCTAAACCCTAATATGGTTAAAGTATATTCCTCAATTAACGGCACTGGGTACTGTTGGGCTACCTTGTCCTGTCTGTGGCATTATTGAAACGCTGCGCGTCGTCCGCCTCGGCCCGGCTGTACACGCATGCGGCGAGTGGCTACTATCTGCAGCAAGCTCTTGTAGGAAAAAAGTAACAGTTGGAATCGCACTTATAGTAAAAGTAATGTTCATAGCAACACGAAGCAGGATGATTGTGAGTAGTATTAGTAGTGGTAGTATCAGTACGAATTTTGGTGTCGTCATTCCGAAACACTGGATACCAAGACTCTCGCAAGCGGCGGGATGCCTTAAGTATGGGCCGTTGAGGCTGTGGATTTCGTGGGCGTCTTGGATTAGGGAAGCATCACAGCCTTTTCAACCACGTTACTCCGCCTATCCCAACGAAAGGGCGTCTAAAACAAGCCTGAGACGCAAAGCCATCAATTCGATACCAACATAGGGGCCCAAACAATGATTAAGACCTTGCTGGGGTTTTTTCGGAGCAGACAAGGTGAGGTCACACAGGTTAGGTCTTCGGTAAAACAGACTTTTGGACGAAAGCTCGCACCTGTCAGCAAGGGAAGAGAGGAGGGGGGGGGGGGGGAGGGGGGGCAGGGCGGGGGGGAGGGGGGAGAAAAGGGGAAGGGGGAAGGAAGCGGCGGAAATTGGGTGGGACTGCCTGCAGACAGCCAAAATCCGTTGGAGGAGGTGAGATTCACCACCGGACCTTGGGGCTAATCGGCACGTTTCCAGTTGAAAGGGGGGGTGGGGGGGGGGGGGCGTGGCCCAGATTTTTGGTGTGGGGTCACTAAAAAGGGTATTAAGAGGTGGGGAATAGAGGGAATCCGAATAGGAACCTCTGACCGCTTCGGCCGGGGCCGAGGCGAATAAAGTCGTGCGGTTTAGCGTGTAGGGTTTAGGAGTTTAGGGGGTGTAGGGTTTAAGGTGCAGTCGTGCGATAAGCATTGTGAGACTTGGAGATTCGGGAGACTTAGCAGACTTAGCAAGCATTTATTTTGTAGACTTAGCACCCCGATTGGGATCGCTTTTAGGTACTTATAACGGATAATGCTACTCTACTTACTACCTATAGAAGTGTTGAGGGGTGTTGTCAGGGGTCCTATAAGGGTTGCTTCAAGGGCTCCTTTACAGGTTCTACAAGAGTTCCTTCAAGCTTACCCTACTTAAAGGGTCATGGGACTTAATAACTGGGGCTGTAAGTAAGGCAAGTACAGTTATAACTACTTATAAGCCCAGTTAAGGTACTTATTACCCGACTTACTAAGTCCCATGATCCTCCAAGTAGGGTTCAGGGTCTGACTGAGGTGCCCTGTTGCCTTCTATGCAGCCGTAATCAGCGGAGCCCCCCACTTGGGAGACCCATCTCCGAACATCTTGGATCCTCCAAGTAAGGCAAACCACAGCCCCTTCGCAGTATTGCCCCGCCCCAGAAACCTTGAAACAGTCGCACGGTGTGTTTCGGGTTTAGGGCTGAGG